AGATACATGTACAAGATGGCACTGTGGCCGAATAGAGAGAAGAAGCGGACCAGAAAACATTGAACTAGTATGCTGAGCAGTAAAGCTGCAGCATCCTGTACGCGTCGATATTCTCCCATGGGTACGTTAATGTTGCGAAGTTGCTCATCATAGAACTTTAGGCGTCTAGAGAAGCAGTGAGCCCCGAATGGAATACAGCAGGAGAAGGACGAGAGACTAACGTGGTGTTCATGTCAGGGATGTAGATGCCCAGCGTGTCGAGGTCTTTTCGATCTATGAATACTGCAATAGCCAACATCCGCTCTTGTTCCAAGTTAGACTGAGTCATCACCCTGTCGCACCGAGGTAGAGGTGCTATCCATGCTGCTATGTTAACAGTTCCCACCACGACCAGTGCTATGACGAAAGCCGCGTGTTTCCGATAATGAGGAGCGTTCTTGCGCCTTCGAGTGACGACGGCTAGTGTACAAGCTGCTAACACTAGATGAAGGGCTGTGGATCAAGTTGATAATACCGGGATACCCGTTTTTTCCGTTAGCACAATTCAAGGTGCGGCCAGCGGCGCAAGTGGAAGCGCTCACCATATACGATGCCGTACAGGAACGTGGTTGCGAGTATGCTGGTGAAGTGCTGAAACAACGCCCGGTCACACAACTGCGCAGGCCCATATGGACCTGGGCCTGAGATTGCCATGTCGGCGGCGTCCACTGAGTCCATTAGGCTGGAGGGGGTGGGAGGGTAGGCGAAATGAACGTTGAAAGCAAGCAGCACTGAACGGACCGGGAGATACTCCGTTGCGTACAGCCAGTGTATACTGTATGTAGATCTTCTACACAAATATTGGGTAGGCTGTTGTTGACATTGCTAATTTGACGAGGAGGCGAATGATCCGTACGTACTTTTGAATCGCCAGGTTCTGTCAGCTCAGATTGAAACCTGGAATACCCAAGGAGCACATGGAGATTGGAGAGGATAGACTCAAGTTCGTACTGGAACAGAGTAACGCGGGTGAACGACAATGGTTGCGCTGTGCATGCGTGAGTCATCGGGGGGGCTGCGAGAGTAGTTTTAATGAGACCTCTGGTGAGATGTCCGAAACGAGTTTGAATCAATGTCCTCGATAAGTCAGCAACCAAAAACCGCCGAGCTGCTTGTATTCTACGTCATATCGTCATACAACCATAGAAAACACAACGCCCAATGCACCCAAGCGGTGCACCTCGCCCACCGCCATATCTGCATACACCACCCTCCTAGAAAGGCCAAAACACATTCCCCACATTTCCCGAGCCCACGAACACCCCATTGGCGTCCTCGTTCCCACCCATCGGAAACGTCTCACCAAACCCATTCCCCGACGCCGCACCGACAGCGCTCCTATCAGGGCTATTGAAGATACTGATTCCGTTCGTTCCCTGCCAGGTCGAAGCAGTAATATCAGCATCAAGTCATGCAAACGGAGAAGTAAACGAAGAGAGGGAGACGTACGAATGGGAACGACCCGAACAACCCGGTCGGATCGAACGACTCTGACTTGGTCCAACCGTTGTTCGGGCTGTAGACGTACCAGCCGACGGTCTGCCCGTTGGCGGTGCCGGTATTGTAGACGAACCACTTGTTATCGCCGTCGTCGTCAGCGTCGGCGCGTTTCGTGAGGGACTAGAAGGTTGGAGGTGATCGGCATACTGCTTGTGTAGAGGATGATGTTGGGACGAAGAGGGGACGATGGATGAGGAAGGTTGGGACGAAGAGAGAAAGACGAAAGAGCACGGGAGGATGTGAAATGACGACGTACCCTAAGCGCACTCACAGAAGCAGCAGCAGCCCTGTCTGCACCACTAGCCCCCGCAGACGCAGATGCCCCACCACCACATCCGGAATCCGCGGCAGCGCTCCCTCCTGCGCCTCCACATCCACCGGTCACCGCAGGAGAGGTGCACTGTTGCTTCCTCCGCCTCCGCCTCCTCCGGAGGCAGCAGAAGCAGCAGCTGAGCCATCGTCCCCGCCTTTACGTCCACCGCCTCCAGGAGCGGCAGCAGTAGCAGCTGCCGAAGAGCTATCTCCGCCTTTGCGTCCGCCTCCTCCAGAAGCGGCCGAGGAGCTGCTATTTCCTCCTCCCTCACGCCCACCCCCTCCCGATGCTGCAGAAGCAGCAGCGCTGTTTCCCCTACCCTTACGTCCGCCTCCCCCAGAGGCAGCAGCGGCAGTGGCGCTACTCCCACCACCACCGCCTCTATTCTTTTCACCGCGATTCTTCTGCCTTATTTCCTAAAAAAAAAAACACGTTAGATCGACGTCACCGAAGTAGAAGAGTGATGATACGAACGAGATCCTACTTAGATGCGGCCGCTGCCGCAGCGGCTGAAGTACCTCCACTGTCTTTGCCACGATAGCCTTTGTAGAAGCCGCCGTAGAATCCACCCCTGGCGACTAAGTTCTATGAAGAATGTAAACATCAGCAACGAAGACGTTCAAGAGATTGGAGAAACTTACCTCGGCTGGCTCGGGCGCTGCAGAGACGAGAAGACTGGCGAAGGCGAGAGCGATAAGGTGTAGGTTGAGCTTCATGACGGACGACGTAGAATATCTTTGCCGAGCAGAAAATTACTGGGGTCTACAGAAGGAAACGGGTAGTTCTCAGCTGAAGCGACGGTATATGAGTGAGCTCACCTACGTTGGCTTTGTTTAGAAGTGGAATGACAACCCAGCACAACAAGCTCTGAGCACGACATTACTCTGGACTGTCTGGGTGATCTTGAAAGAGATCTTGGCGCTCAACACGACGAAGACGGGCCGGAAGTAGTTCCAGGATGAGACGGCTTCAAAACGCGTTGATTCGAGGTAGCAATTGGGTTGGCGTGGACAAGGTACTGGACTCATTGCTCATGTAGCATAGACTGGAAGCTCGGGTCTGGTGGCGAGGAAGAATCTAAGGGAAGTTTAGAACAGCGACCCCGGACGGGCAGGCAGATACGCAGACACAGAGAACTCACCCGTTTCACTCTCTCTGGACACTCATCTTGCGAAGGTAGAACATCGGATGGAAAGTAAATCTGATGTATCTCTTCAATTCTTGTACTGTTCCGAGCTATTCTTGACTTCCAAAGTCTATCGATGGCCGGTGCCTAGACTAGTGATGTCCGAGAATCACGACGAGCTGGGCGATGTCGGGCCAGCCTATGCTGCAGCCAAATTCGCGTCGAGCTGAAGCATGCCGAGATTCGTTGCGGCTAAGTAGGGTGAAGTCGCTGAGATAGCGCAGACGATGGGAAGACTGTCGTCGTCAACGTCGAGGTCGAGGTTGAGGCGGTTATGATGCGATCAAATGTCTTCTTCTCTCACTACCTCCCATTGTCAGCCGCTTCCACAACCATACGCACCGCTCTCAACGCACAGCGTATATACGCAGTAACGACTATTCCAAGCTCTGATCGACATGGCACTACAGCATACACATGGGCACATCTCGATATTCTCGGACACCTGCCAGCATTGGACGTTATCATCGACATCATGATCAGCTTTCCCAGGCTTTACAAAGCCCTCATTCTCGTCGGTACAGCATGTGCCGTCCAGTCATGATTGTCCTAGTCACCAGCTCGTCATCGTCTCGAATTCGCGTACGTATAATATCGGGAATACTTCTACAAGCTGCGTGTGGACCAGGTATCTTCCATCGCCCAAATCATCTCCCACGAATGTGGACTTTGCCAGTGCAATCTAAGTCCGTATACCTGAACTGATAAAGTTCAGGCAAGATCATTCAGAACCGCGCCTCGCACCGCATCGCCGACGATGGTGATACCCACCACCTACCCTGCTTACTGTCGTTGCCTCCATGGGAAAGAGATGATGATCATACATTGCAGGTTAGGTATATAAGATCAAAGTGGACGGGCTCGCTCCCAGCTAACCTTCTTCCGAGAGCTCCCTTCGTTTGTCAAGCACACCTTAGGCTGGTCCCTTACTTTTGTTCTTCGCTGCTGCTGGCCGGCCTTTCCAAGCTCTTCCTCTTCTTCGATTTTGCTCAGCCTTCAACCCACCTCAATTCAAAGCTTTGAGCCACCTTCCCTCCGCTTTCTCGCGATCTTTGAGAAACCAACACATTCCGACATACAACGATGTTTTCCCACACAATCTTCATCCTCCTCTCGTTCTTCCTCGCTCTCGTACTACCAATCACGGCACTCCCTCTACCCTCCATCGCACCCCACAGCTCAAGCACGTCTATTTTCTTTCGCATCAAGTGTTATCAAAGCTGATTCACACTCAGGTGTCACCGTCGGTCGCCCCAGTTCCAATCTCGCCCCCGTCGACGTGCCCGTTCACAGACTCCCGCGTGCCGTACGTCCCCGTTCTGCATAACTTCGAGTCACCTTCCTCTTACTCTCCGCGTGTAGTTCTCCGATACATTTAATTTCCCATCCCGAATCGCCCTAGGTGCCGATGCGAACAAAGATAATTTCGTAATGAACCGCTGGGGCAGAAACAACAACAGAGGAGGAAGGGGAAGGGGGAGGGGGAGGGAAGGTGATTGATTGTAGCGAGGCTCACGTTGACGGGTCTGGAACTTTGACGGGGAGCAGGCCTGAGGAGAGGAGTGAAGGCTGAATGTACCGTGCCAGATAAGCGTTCTCGGACTTTTGTGTATATTCAGATGGACTATGTATCTATACTTCGCACGCGATGACTTCTCGGCGCCTCCTTGGGCTTGGGAGAACCCAAAACGAGGAAGGTACTTGCACCGTCTGCGCACTCCAGGTGTACATCGTCGGTCATGTTGCACGCGCACTACATACATGGCCACGAGTAAATGAGATGCGTTTGGCCACTTCGGATACTGCTAGGTGTCCGATTCAACTGCCGGCAGCTGGAGGCTGAGGTAGCCTGATGGCTAGCAGTCTCACTGCTCAGCGATGCGGCATGTCAGAATTCAAATGAAATAGAGACAGGTTCCAGAGTACAGAGAGAGAAGCAAAAACATGAGTACTCCTATTTGATACACCAGGAGGGAGTCGAACCCCCGCCGCTTGCTGTCATTGAACTCCTACAGTACGAATGGAAGGCAAGCATGATAACCGTTTCACCACTGGTGTATTGGTAGAAATAGTCAAGCATAATATATATAGCTAACCCCTTCATGAGTGGAGCCTCGGTAAATGGCCTGGTACAAATTGTTACGTCGCCTCCTTGTGGGTGAAGATTTGGCCTGGTCCAACTCCAAAACCTCTCTCAAGTGATTCATGAACCAATGGTATCATCCTCGTAGCCCCACTAGCCCCGCATTGCGAGAGTTTCGAGCTGACGTTCATGATGAAGCATAAACTCGAATATGAATATTTATCGAAATTACAGCAACACCACTGACCCCCCGGATTCCAGCCGGAATGATATTATGATCATCACATTACGACTTTAGACACCATGCAAGTCGACACATCAAAACAGAGATCGTGACAAGCACCGGAGGTCGTCGCATGTACACAGTTCAACTCGGCTCCTCACATAAAGCAGAGCAGTGATCATGAACAGGATCACGAACAACAACGACACCATCTTCCAACCTAGGTCGCCACGCGGACGCGATATTCGGCCCAACGTCGATATGACCAAACTGGTCCTACCTCCGACAACCCTTCCCCAACTGGAAATGGACATCAAGCATTTCGATATACGTCTTGGAGCCAAGGCCCCCATAATCACCCTCGTCCCGAGACGGGCCTTCAACAGCAGGAAAGAGGCGGATGTTGAGCGCGCACAAGTACGGGAAAATCGGTGACTCATCGATGTCCCACCCATCGAGATATGGAGCTAGCCCAGCGGTCAAAAGACCTTCGACGTTCACGAGGAGAAGAAGTAGAGAGTTGGATAGGAGGGCAATATAGCTGATGCCATGATTGTGGGAGAAGGTGCGAAACGATTCCTGGATGGTCTTCAAGGCCGTGCGCAAGGGTAGGGTGGAGGGAAAGGGGATGTTGTTCTCGAAGAGTGCGTGGGTGGTGCTCCCGACGTCGATCCCAAGCCATCTCATGATAGAGTAGGGAAGAATCCACCACGCCTCTTCAGCCTTTGGCGAAGGAGTGCCGGGGCCATTGACTGGGTAGATATTGCGCAGTTCGAAGGATACACGAATCCCGTCCCAGGCGTCTTCGTCTATGTTCAGCCAGCAAATGATGTCGTCGCCTGGTTTCTCCTCCATATAAAGCAGCTTGATCCGCGACGAATCAGCAAGGCAGTAGAAACGAACCACGGCGTTGTCACCCGGACCATCCTCAGCATCTTGAGCGTTCAAAGGGCCGATCGTGGAGAGAGGTCTAGTAACAAGACCCACTGTTCCCACCCCCAGCTCGCTCTCCGGTGCGCCGTGCTGATGCCAAACGTTATCGACAACAAATCGGTTCATGCACTTGCTGTCAACAGAGAGTCGACACATGAGTGCATAGCAGGATTAGATATTGAGCGAAAGTAGTTCAAGGTGCTCGAGTGATTCGAGCTCAACCTCAGGGAGTAATGACTCGGCGTGGGCGTGACGATCCCATGATGATTGTTCGGCGGTGACGTCGTATCCACCCAAGTCAAGAGAAAGATACTCCAACCGGGACATACAAGCGAGAACCTCGATAGGCTGAGGATTGTCGAGGAGAAAATGCGAGTGTGCAACGACGGCGAAGACCTTGAGCGCAGGGAAGTTCGGGATCCTGTTTGGCTGGAACCAGCAGTCGCGGAGGCGCAGTGTGTGCAGATAGTTGGAAACACCGCGCAAAAGAGTGTCGTAAATGAGGGGGAAGCGGCCTGATGGGAGCATCGGCTTGTCCACGAGGAAAAGCAACTGGAGGTCGGGTAGAAATGGGAACTCAGGCGAGGGGAGGAACAGTTGGTGTGGGTGTTGTCGATGACCAGTAACACCAGGGGCAGAGTAAAAAGGACAGACGGGAGGATGAAATGCGGTGGGGCGGCTTGGAAACCGGTCAACTGGAGGAATCGGGTGTGACTTTCCCCGGCTCGGGGAATCAGGGTGTCACACACGAGTGGGAGGCGTCGCTTCGGCAAAAGTCGATATAGGTGTGCAACCACAGTTCGGGAATCCCTAGAGCGATGGATCGCCAGCGACGCGAGACTGCACTGAGGACAATGGCCAGTCGCTGAAAGTCCATCGAATGAACGTCACCCGTTTGCCTGCATAGGTTCTCGACGTAGATGGCATGGTGGCAGAGGAGTAAGATGTCCCGTATGACTTCAGTGGGCATATGAGAGAATGGGCTAGTGAACGGAGTTGAGGATGGAGTGATCAAAGTAAGTGCGTGGATCGCCTCACCCAGGTGCGTCGAGTTTAGGTTACTAAGAGGAAACGAGTCGAAGAAGGAGCGATGGAGCACTTTCGTGTGCATCTTTGAGCTTGAGACGGGGCTACGGAGAGGCAACGCGTATAAGCGTGAGAGGAACACGGTGTAAAATCAGCCTTACCTTGGTGGCATCGAGTGTGACGTCGGCATGTTGAGAGGCGGAAGAGAATGTAGCGAAATTCGACACCGTCGACGATAGGAGACCTTATATTTAGAGGGTCGCCATCCTGCCCTAATAAGTGTGGATACCGATGGTGTTGTATTCCTGGACAAGCGCCAATCCGACGCTTGTTCTGCTCGAATTTCCAACTACGCGAGCACCTGATTCTCTGAATCAAGCCAAAACGCACGATGAGCACACGACTTGGATGCCTGACTATGACCACGAGGGAAATAGGGGCAACGTCCCTGCCATGTTTCCCAAAAGAACGACAAAGAACGCTAGCATCGAGGTCCTTGTTCTTTCTCGATCACTCCGTCCTACGAGCAAAAAGAACGCGCGATAACAAAAAGTGAGTTAATAGGATCTGGAATGACGCTCGCTTATAGGGCAGAGGCAGCGCATGGCTAGCGCCGTGTCGACGCGAGCAAGAAACTCGCAGTGTCGCGATGCCCAGTGGATGAATCATACCGAACGTGGTACACACACGAGACGCAAGATGGGTTTGTGAAGATGAGTGATACCATCCGGTGGTTAGGGGTACTCTCGAGTAAGAAAAGAGAGCGATAATACTAGTTGAGTTGGCCCGCACGTATGTGAGGAAGGTACAGGCGGTGGAGGTCCATGGAAGACGAAGAAAGTCAAAGATAGGCGCCGGAGCTGGGCTATCAACCAACCTCCGCCGGGCGCTTGACCGGAGGTTGGACCAGGGCGAATTCCGACGGTGGCTCGTAGGCTTTGCCAATACTCGCGACGTAGCAAGCTTAAGCGCACATACTGTCTAAGTACTTGACTGGTCTCTGTCGTTATCATTAGAGGAGTGCACAGCGTTGAGGGCCGAGTTGAAAAAACGGACGTTGAACAGACGCATACAGTCTTCAGAACACGTTGGCAACCTCACTCCAGGTTAACCTGGACCTCCATCTCTCAATCTTGGAATGACTTCCGCGTTCAATAACCATCATCCCATTCTGAACCAGCCGGAAATTCGCCAAACACAGACAATCCAATCTCCATGTCACAGATACATATGGCTAGTGCGCCAGCTCGATCTCGCACATGTGGTATACAAGATGTTCCCGCTTCGTCATTGGCGTTTGAGTTACGACGGGAAAGAAAGTCTTTTCGAGTCCTGCTTCGACCCTCCGGCACAAGTTCTCGAGGTGTGTCAACTCTCCAACGACGATCCCTTCATGAACTGTATACATCATCTCATCCCTACGCCGGCCTCGATCACCTTTGTTCTGTGTCTGCAGACCGATATTGAAATCGATGACATGCCTCCTTCCGAGTCACCCATCGACCACATCCACTTCGTCCTCGCCGTCTACAACTTCGCATTGCTCCTCAACCAGGACCGATCTCTCGCCATTCTCGAAGAGAACAACTTCCTCCAAGCGATCTAAGGTGTCAGTGAGTACCTGATCGAACCGCGCGGGATCGTGCCACCCGGGCACTTCATGTTCTGGGAAGTTACACTGCGAGACTCTGTTCATTCTGGATCGAATCCTCTGTGCGTATCTAACCTGGGAAAATTCTACGCTATGTCCTCCTGGTAACACCCATGTTGGAGTAAGTACGCGCTAAGCGTAGAACTTACTAGAACGACATTGCTTGTAGTTAGTAGAACATTCTGAATTACTTGTACTTTAGTATATAAGCCCCAGCTGGGGCTGCCTCCAATAATTAACTTTACTTCCTATCTTCGCTATCATCTACCATTCTCTAATAACCCAGAAGCATCCCGACTATGTGATTTGATATCTACCCCTCTTATGTCGGATGTATAACGATGGTCGGTATAGAGGGGTGCCGTCCAGCCTGCTCAAGCTCGTCGCTGCGAGGTCTTTTGACGATGCGAGGGATCCGGCTAATTTGGGTTGTCAGACTCTTAGCAGGGAGGAGATGAAGCAGTTGGGGCGGGATAAAACGATGCGATTCGTAGAGAAGCTCGTGCGTATTTGGGTACTGTCGAGTATGCATCGATGCTCTGACTTAACCGTTTCGTATGCACAGCGTTCGGAGCTGCGCAAAGCTCAAGGCTTGGATGGGGCGGACTGACTCTGTCAAAGGTGAGGTGCAGCGGCGAAGTGAAGATGCAAGGGCGAAAGTGAGATCCGGGAGGGGGTACATGTATATGGCGGCTACGAGGATCGCGTTCGAGTCTGCAAGACGTATGAACAGCTAGAGGTCTTTAATCTTGAAGAACGCAATTCCAAGACATCACACCCTCTACCGACGAATCCTCACTCGTGTAGCAATTTGGGGACGAGGGCTAGCGGTGTGGCCGAGGTGAGGAGGCGGCGGTCGACGTATATGTTGCATACTGCTGATTATCTGTGTATACCCTAGAAATAACTAGCCTGGTAAGTGCAAATTGGTAGTCGAGTGGGACGTGCAGAGATAAGTCGGACGTAGACCATCAGTGTTGCGAGAGGAAGCCATTTCGTGTTCTGGCATACATATGTATTGACATGGCATACATATGTATTGACATGACAAGGTATCTACCGCGCGTCAGCACCAAAGTACTGCGGCAGGATAAACGCCAACTTCTTCATGTCTTCCTCCTTCCACATCTCTAACCGAGGCA